ACTTATGTTTCTCTCTCAGTATATTAGTCTCTTATTATCTATATAAAGTCATTCACTCACTTATTTGTTCAACAATTACTTATTGAGCATCTACTATGTGCCAGGCTATTCCAGTGAACAAAAATAGATAAAAAGCACTGCCATTATTGGGGTTACTTTCCAAAGTATGTAGAAGGTCAAATGATGACAAGAGCTATGGAGATGAATTGGGATGCCTGGGTGAGAGATGGCTGTGTTCCCTTATTTTAGTCATATTGGGTAGGAGACAGCATAAGTATAGTCTTATTTTTCCTGAAAAGCTAGTTTTGATCACATGAAGCTCCTCTTATGCTTTCTTTCTTTCTACCTTGGTCATCTTATCAAATACCCTGGCTTTCATTGTTCATCTTCTATCATTTACCCTTGAATTCATATATTTACAAATGAACTCTCTTTTTTGAAGCCTCCTACCTAACACTCTAATTTGGTTGTTCTACAAGTATCTTAAACTCAGCACATCCCAAATCAAATGTATCCTCCCTCCCAACTCTGTTTTTCTCTTGCTTTAGTGATATTACCTTCAACTCAGTTAAGTCAGGGAATTCAGAGTCATTCTTAATTCCCCATAAATGTATACCATTAATTGCATGTCATGCCCTCTTAAGTTTTCATTCCAAGCTCCTCTCCAGTCTCTATGGACTTATTCAATTGCTCTGTCAACTTTAGTTGAATGCCTACTATTTACCAGCTGCTATGCCAGGTTCTGTTAATACAAAAATACATCAGACAATAAGGTAGTAGAGGCTGAGATAGAAATCGACACATTTTTGTAGCAAAGTATTATGAGCACAGAGAGGATCAACTAACTGGCTATGTCTGTGGGAGTCGGAGTGGTGGCAGTGGTTGAGCTGAGTCTTGAAGAAGGAATACTTGGAAGGCATAAAAGAAAGTACCTGGAGGCACTGAGTTTTCAGAGGACTTCCTGTGTTTGGAGAATGGTGAGAAAGTCAGAGTGATTACAAGAAGTGGATTGTCAGAGCATGAGTCTGAAGATCACTTCAAATTCCTTGGTTGACAGAGATTTCATTAACAGAGGTGAATAAAAAGGGCTAAGGAAACAAATTTTTAATGAGTTGAGTTTGACATGCCCGTAAGCTATCCAGAAGGATTTATGTCCAGGAGGCCGTTGGAAATAGTGAAGTTGAGAAGAAAGGGATAAAGATTGAGAAATCACCAGCGTGATGATGGTTGAAACCATGGGAACAAACAACAAAGCTTAGAGAGCAAGAACCAATGAAGATGAAAGATAACCAGTCCCCTCTTTTCATTTCCCCTCTATTGCTCTGGTCCGTGGCCTCCACCCTCAGTCTCTTCTCCCACTGTCTTCCTCTAAATTCTGCCACAGGAAGTTACTGAAAGCCCAGCTCTAAATGTGCTCGCCTCCACGCAAAGCCTTCAGAAGAAAGTGCGGGCTCCTCAGCTTTGTGCTTAAAGCTTATTATGGTTTGTGCCAAATGTACCATTTCATCTTCATTTCCCAGTGTTCCTTTCTAACCACATCAGAGGGACGGACACTCCCCCAAACAGGTCATCTACTTTTACCTCTAGCTTTGCCATGTCATTTCCCGTGCCCAGATGGCAAGAAAACATGGCTTTGGCGTCAGAAATATTTTCATTTAAATACTGGCTGACTTTTCCACTCACCAAGGTGTTGACTTGAGCAATTAATTGAATCCCTCTGAATCTGTTTCCTCAACATGCTAAAAGGTCAGATTGGATTATTGGAATTCTAATAGCGTATTTAGACATCTTTATAGCTGTCGGCACAAATATGTGCTAAATAAAAATTAAATATCTTTCATTACCATTCCACTTGCCATAATCGTGTTTTAAGGCCAGACAGTTCAAAGCTTTACACCTCTTTGAAACCATTTAAAATGTATCTAGTGAGAATTCATTTTGCCTTTCTCTATGCTTTGTTGGCAGTTTATACCACTTTAGAACGTCTGTTGTCTATTTCTTCCACCACATTATGATTAATTGATAGTAAACACATTATTTCTTTGTGTGCTATGTATCTTGCAACAGGTAGATAATTGTTCAAATTGAATTCTGAGAAAATAGACTCCAACATTTCTCTCTCTCTTTTTTTTTTTTTTTTTTGAGTAACATCTCTGTTGAAGTATGAGTTATATACCTTACAACCCACCTGTGTAAAGTATACAATTCAGTGGTTTTTGTATATTCAGAGTTAGGCATCTATCATCATAATCAATTTTAGAAAATTTTTCATTGTCCCCAGAGGAAATCTCATACTCTTTAGCTTCGTTATCCTCCCTCCCCCAATTTTTTATCCTCCTCAGCCCAAGGCAACCATTGATCTACCTCTGCCTCTATAGATTTTCCTATTCTGGATATTTCATATAAATGGAATCATAGAATATATGGTCTTCTGTGACTTGTTTCTTTCACTAAGTATGATATTAATGGTTCATGATGTAACATGAAGCAGTACTTGATTTATTTTTGCATTTTATTTTTAAAAATTTAATAAATCTTTATTGTTCAGATTATTACAATTGTTTCTCCTCCCCCCCATAGCTCCCCTCCACCCAGTTCCCACCCCACCCTCTGTCCTTACCACCCCCTCCCACTGTCCTTATCCATAGGTGAACAATTTTTGTCCAGTCTCTTCCTGCACCTCCTGTACCTCTTCCCCCTGAGAATTATCAGTCCACTCCCTTTCTATGCCTCTGATTTTATTATATTCACAAGTTTATTCTGTTCCTCAGATTTTTAATTCACTTGATTTTTAGATTTACTTTTTGATACATATGTATTTGTTGTTCATAATTTTTATCTTTACTTTTTTCTTCTTCATCTTAAAGAATTCCTTTCAGCATTTCATATAATACTGATTTGGTGGTAATGAACTCATTTAGCTTTGTCTTATCTGTAAAGCTCTTTATCTGATCTTCCATTCTGAATGATAGCTTTGCTGGGTAGAGAAATCTTGGTTATAGGTTCTTGCTATTCATCACTTTGAATATTTCTTGCCACTCCCGTCTGAGCTGCATAGTTTCTGTTGAGAAATCAGCTGACAATTGTATTGGTGCTCCCTTGTAAGTAATTAACTGGTTTTTTCCTCTTGCTGCTTTTAATATTCTCTCTTTGTCTTTTGCCCTTGGCATTTTAATTATAATGTGTCTTGGTGTGGTCCTCTTTGGATTCCTTTTGTTTGGGGTTCTGTGCGTTTCCTGGACTTGTAAATCTATTTCTTTCACCAGATGAGGGATGTTTTCAGTCATTATTTCTTCAAATAGGCTTTCAGTATCTTGCTCTCTCTCTTCTTCTGGCACCCCCATAATTCTGATATTGTTATGTTTGAAGTTGTCTCAGAGTCTTCTTACACTATTTTCAACTTTTTGGATTCTTTTTTTTCCCCCCACTTTTTTCAGTTGAATATTTTTTGCTTCTTTGTATTTTACATCTTTGATTTGATTCTTGCATTTCTCCAGTCTAATCATTCTAGTCTGCTGTTGGGTCTCTGTATAATATTTTTTATTTCAGTCAGTGTATGTTTAATTTTCTGAGAGACTATTGTACTAGCCCAGATGAGAGATGCTAATGCCTCAGACTGAGTGGTAGTGGTGGGGGTGCTGAGAAGTGATCAGATTCTGAGTATATGTTGAAGGTAGAAGCAGAAGAATTTCAATATAGATGGAATGTGTGTGTGTGTGTGTGTGTGTGTGTGTGTGTGTGTGTGTGTGAGAAAGAGAGAGAGAGAGAGAGAAAGAGAGAGAGAGAGAGAGAGAGAGAGAGAGAGAGAGAGAGAGAGAAGAGGGATGGATTCAAGATTCAAGGATGACTCTTAGATTCTGGCTTGAATAACTGAAAGAATGGTGTTGCCATGGAATGAAAAGAGGACTGTGGGTGGAGCAGGGTTGGGAAAAAGATTGAATTCTATTTGGGACATGCTGAGCAGATGATAGATCAAATAAGATGAGGCATAGCCATCAGCCAGCTAAATTTTATGGTATTTTCCATTAGAATATCCAATAATATAATTTAAAAGGTCACTCTTACATTTGGGACAGATTTTGTACTTATTGTGCTTTGTGTCTTAATATTGAAAGGGTCTTCTTCATGCCTGAATGGCTTAATGGCCTTTTCTTTTTTTAAAAAAATATGCTTAGGGAAAAAAATAGTCAGGATTGGAATTCAATTTCCTGGTTTCTTCTCTAATATCTGAACTGCAAAACCAGACAGAATCCCAACATCCCATTTTACTTGGCCTCCTAATCCATTTTCCGTGGATATTTTTCTTCATCTCCATTCATTTTCTTTCATCCAATCTTCAACTTTTGAGAGGAAAAAAAAAAGAGTGTTATTACCCAGATTCTTTCCTCAGTGTCCATCCAGAGACTGAAAATGTGCCCCAGAAGTTGAGCAGATGGTCCCCTTCCTAGACTGGCTGGAACACAGTCATCTGAGGTGTGGACGGGTCTCTCAGTCCTTATTGCACTCAGAGCCCAGATCATGGTAGACATTCACTTACTCTTCACTGGTCACAAGTGGCTTGAAGATCTCTTGGCTGTCTTCCCTCATTTTACCCAATTTCCTGGATTAAATGACTTTTTTTCTTCTGTCCTGACTAGCATGTGTACCATTTCTTACACAATCAATTTTACTTTTTGTACTTAGACTTGTGATCCAATTTAATTTGACTATTTTGGTATGGTTCTATTTGAAATTATCTGTAAATTTTATACCTATAATAATACATTCCCAAGAATCCATTGGGAGAAAATGTTTGTTGGGAAGAAATCCATAAACTATGGCCTTTTTTTTGTTTTTTCTGGAGGTCTTATGTACTATGTTGTTTTTAATCATAGCAGAGTAACTTGATGCACGCTTACAAAAAGCATATTTTCACACATTATTGTGTTTTGTTTTTAGCCTAAGAAGGAAGTGCTGGTTAAATGACAGATTACATATCTTGTGTTTCCCGTGTTCTGCAGGACTCGAGAGGGACAAGTTTGACAATAAAACTGTGTCATTTGAGGAGCACATCAAGTCAGAACACAACATGTGGCATTATTTGTATTTCCTCGTCTTGGTGAAGGTTAAAGACCCAACTGAATACACTGGACCTGAAAGTTACGTGGCTCAAATGATTGTGGTGAGTGATCAGAGGGTTTGATCTGGAACTGTATTGGATTTTGGGTGCTTTTCCTTCTCTACCCTACCCTTGTCCTATCTTGTTAACTTTTAAACGGGACTGTCAATCACTGCAGTATCGCTATCCTGGTGAAGTCACTGATTCCCAGTGGACTTTGCAGTTATACAAACCAAATTTAAATTGGAGGTGCACAGATATTTATTGAAGAATTTATTCTGCACCATCTGTAATCTTCTGACCTCATACCTCTTGCTATGTCTCAATTCCAAAAACCTGGAACTTTCCCATTGGCAAATGTGAACATAAGAGTCATACTTTAAGATTTCTTGAATTTCAGAACTCCAGGGTTTAAGGAAGGGAAGAGTATAGTGTTCTATTTCAATGGGAAAAATACTCTCTCAAGCACTTCGCATAGGTTATCAGCGGTAGTGATGCATTTGCAGTGATCCTGCCATATCCAGTTGCGTATAACTCCTCATTAATATTAGTAGCATTGCACAGAGGGTGTGGTTGTCTGTGATCCAAAGCTTTGTCTGTTTCATAGAAGATTAAAACTGACTGGTTTAAAGAGAAGCCAAAGGTACAGCTTTCATGTCTCCATGATACACATTTAGTGAGTGTCATTGCATCTAATATAAATTCTCATATTCTTATCATAAACCTAACTGTGTATTGGATTTCTTTTTTTCAAAAAATTGCCCGGCAAAATTGCATTCGCTATTTGAGAATGAGGCCTTAGAAGCATCATGATCCTCTTTGCTGCTCAGTGCCCAGGATGACATTTGGTGAACACCACAAAGTGACAGGACAGCCATCAGTGGCTCTCTAGCCTTCACTCTGGGAGTTTACCATCCACTCAGGAAGACAAACTATAGCATGGGGAGCAACTGAAGAACATGTTCAGAGGCTAACATATCAAGGAGTGCAAGTTAATATTGCAGCAGTTTACCTTACTTGACAAAATTTATGTCACAGGAGACTTAATGTAAATTATATTTTTATAATTCCACATTTTTACTGCATTTTTATTGTTGACTTGCATCCTACTATAAGTTGTTTCTCTGTATTCTTCATATGGTAGTAGACAGGACATAATATTATTTTATTCCATATATCTTTTTCTGCCCTCTCTCTCTTCTAAATTAGGAGAAAAAAGTAACCATTTTGAGGATATGCACTTGTAGTCATTATTTTATAGCCTTGATCTTAAGGTGCTCAGGGACTATTTGTGTGAAACATATTGTTTCTGCTTGATGGGGAATAAAAGCTTGTAAATCATTACATTGGAAGTGTGACCTCACATTGTTATACTTTATCAAAGTTTTAGTAAATTTAAAGTAGGTTTATTGTTGTTTATTTGGAAAAAGACATGTAGGCTATGATTATTACAAGAGCTATCTTAACTCAAAAGAATAAAACGATGGCACTTATGAGACTGTACCTCAGTGCACTGTGCCACTGTGACTGGAGACCACGTCATGGATTAGGAGGGACAGTGTAGTGACAACAGTATGCACCTTAAAGCCAGAAGAATAATGGGCTCAAACTTTGGTTCCCTCACTTATTTTGTTGTATGGTCTTGGATAGTTTGGGTGAGTTTTGAACCTACCTGAGACACTGCTTCCTCATCTAAAAGGCAGAAAATCGTTGGTGGGATATCAGTGAGATATGTAAAGTGATTTTAGCACAGAGTTTAGGGCCTCAGTAATTTACAGTTTTCACTGTGACTATCCACATGGAGTCACCTTGGAGGCCATCAGATTAGAGAGAGGTGGGGGGGAGGAAGAACTATAAAGAGAGAAGAGAAAGACAGAGGCAGACCTCTCATGTAGGAAAAAGAAGAAAGACAAGTAAAATAAGTAGAAAAGAAGACAATACGAAGGGCAGAAGGAGAACAAGAAAGTGGAGTGTGTGGACAGCCAAGAGATGAGCATTTCAGTGTCACAGTTCAATGGCATTATTTGCTACAAAGAGGCCATAAAGACGAGACAGGTCGAAATTGTAATTTTGGAATTGTAATGAGGAAATCAGCAGATGCCTTCCACCGTGAGAGAAGATGGCTGTGAAAATGTAGACCCATCTTTAGCCTTGACATGAAGAGCAGTGCTCTGCCAGGCACTTGTACTTAAATTGTTAGGTATCCATGTACGTACCTGCGTTTCTGTCCGTCCTCTTTTGTCAGCATTCTCTCCAGGACCGTTACAGAAGGGAGCCAACACGAAATGTCTCATTCTCATCCAAGCAGTGCACATCCAAGACAGCAGGCATTGTTCCTGAATGCTAATGATCAGGGGAAGGAAGAGTGATATTAAACTCAGAACTGGTGGAAACAAAAAGCCATTCTCATGGAAAATTGTTCAATTTCCTGAAATCCCCGATTTGAAAAACTTCTAAAAATCTATAGCTGATGAACCCAATTCAGAAAATCTGTTAGTTCCATCTCTGTGGAGATTGTAGTTTGTAATCCTGATCCTCCTGTAAAGAAAGAGAAGATTTTAGAACACATAACAAGTTGAAACACATTGGCAGCTCAGTTTAAAGACTTCTTTTTCCCCTGTCCAGCCAAGGGCTAACTACTCATAACAGTTTGGTAAGAAACCTCCCAGACATGTACTGCCACTTTTATACAGGTTCATTTACCAAGTTGATTTAAGTGCTTGTTTATTAAAAGGTCTTTGAAAGAAGCTATAAATTTTTGTAATTCATACAGCTTTCATAATCAAGGATTTATGCAAAAGAAAATGAGCAAGTTCCTTATATTTGTTCCCAAAACAACTCATCTGAATTCTACTACACTAAGTAACTCAGATTTGTACCCTGGAGCCCTTAGGAAATGCCTCTTAGCTTTTGGTGAAATGAGAAAAAAAGAATATAACAAATTTGGGAGATGTTTCTCCCTTCTGTATATTTATTCACCTCCAATGTCTATACTTCATTGCTATGTCAACAAGGAATATGGGTTTCAATATGCACTAAAACATACATTGTAAATAAATTAATATATTGCTTCTAGATGTTAGAACCTAAGGAAATATGTTTGTGCCTCAAAATCCATCCAGTGATAGGGTCAAGATTTTGAAATATTAATAGAAACTCCAAACTTCCATATCCCCACCTTCAAACTATGCCATACTGTTCAAATATCCTCTGTCTGAGTATCTGAATTAACACAAAGCATCTTTTGGAATACTGTTATGGGAAATGTAAGTAGATCAAGGTATTTGGGAGAATAGATTTTTGTCTTGTAAGCAAACCATCATTTTTGATAAGAGCACTGATATTTTGAGCTAGTATTTATTGGGAACAGAAAATGAAAAGGGAAAAAGGCCTGTGCAGGAAAGTAAAATAATGAAAGAGAATTAAAAAATAATAAAAAATTAGAAGGGAGAGTGCAAGGGATAAATCCTGTAGCCTGTATTCACAGTGGCCTCTGAGCATCATTAAGTCCTTTTGCTTCTTCCATTACCCAAAGGATGATGACCGAGGAGGAAAACACAAAATAGAGATCATTAGAAAAAAATGCCCAAAGCTTTTAGATGTTGCTCTGACATTTGGGGAACATTTTCAGATTTTCAGTGTTTATTTGCTGAGATGTTATAGGGGTCTTTGGGGGTATTTGCTACTTAATTTGACCAACAGCAGGATCAAATCCCAGGTGCCCGGCAGAGAGCCACCACGCGTGTTCAGAGATTGGCTGCCTTCCTCCTGGAGGGTGGTGCTGGCTGCAGCCCTCCCCGTGACCATGGTTTTGGTGGATTATTTTGTCGTGACACTTTTCAGTTTTTCTACTTTTTTGACTCTTGACAAAAAAAAACAAAAAAAAACAAAACAAAACAAAAAAAAAACAAAAAACTATTTCCTGACACTGTGTCAGTGTCGACTAGGACAATTTAAGTCATGTTTTCGTTAACATGATAATTGTCTTGACATGAACACAAAAATGATTGTAAGTTTCTTGAAGGCCACAGCTAGGAATAGAGTGGCTATTTGTTCTGTAATTACAGAACAGGACAGGTTAATATCTGTGATATGTATTAAAAGCAATTGGATACATATGGAGTCCCTCCCACAGGCTAGCAGTTGTACTATGGGCTTGATACGTGGGATAATTAAGAAATAGCCCCTACCTTGGGGAGGCTCAGAATGCTGACTGAGTGAATAAATAAAATCAGGAGCCTAATTAACACATGAATGGTTTCTTCTCAAACCTCCAGTTGTAGTTGGACACAATTTAAAGAAAGATGCACCAACATGGCTGCAAGAGTTTGGGACATGAATTTCTCATTAGTCAAATGTCATCTTTCCCCTTTTGGAAAATCAGAAGATAAAAAGACAGCAGGAAGGGTCAGGCCACCTGAACCAAGCATAATGAAGGCAATAATAAAAATCGGATTTGAGAGATAGGCGTCTTAATCTCTCTGTCGCCTCTCCCCCAGCATTTCTCCGGCCCAGCGCCTCCCACACATGCACAAACCCTCCTGAGTGTGTCTGAGCTGCTCCCCTCGCAGGCGGCCAGGCCTGTGCATCCGTGGGTGTGTCAGCATAACACCCTTCAGCAAAAAAAAAAAATTTTTAAATATATTTTATTGATTTTTTTACAGAGAGGAAGAGAGAAGGATAGAAAGTTAGAAACATCGATGAGAGAGAAACATCAATCAGCTGCCTCTTGCACACCCCCCACTGGGGATGTTCCCGCAACCAAGTTACATGCCCTTGACCAGAATCGAACCTGGGACCCTTCAGTCCGCAGGCCAACATTCTATCCACTGAGCCAAACCAGTTTCGGCAGCACAAATCCTTCGTTGTAACCATCTATTAAGACCTCAGAGAGAGATCCTCCTTTTAAGGAGACAGAAAAGAAATGGAGTCACCCTTGACTTTAGCTACATAAAGGAGAAAAAGAACTATCCCGTTTCCAGATGCTGTTTTCTATGTCCAGAACTCAACATAAACGTTGCTTAGTGAAGCAGTATTTTCCAACAGTAACTGTCAGAAGTGGC